TCTCTGTCTCTCCACCTCCCCCCTCCCGCACTGGTTTGTTCTCTCTCTCTCTCTCTCTCTCTCTCTCTCTCTCTCTCTCTCTGTTGGTTCTCTCTCCCTCCTCTCTCTCAGTTCTCTCTCCCTCCTCTCTCTCTCCCCCCCCCATTCACTCCATGCTCCAGCTTCCCAGTCCCTCCTTAATCCTATATGTTCAAGTATCAACTGAAAATCTCTTTCTAGACATTTTGACATGTGCTATACCATGAATGGTCCTTGAAGACCTTGGGCTGAGTGAAATATGCCAGTCACAGAAGGACAGACACTGCCTGCCTCCACATGTATGAGGGCTTTGAAGGAACAATTTGGAGGGCAGGATGCTGGGTGCCAGGGTGTGGAGAGGGGCAAGCGTCTGTGTGTCATGGGACAGTCTCAGCCCTGGGGATGGTGGACACGTTCTGTGCATGGATGACATGACGGTGGGGATGGGCCAACACTGAACTGTGCATTTTAAATGACCACTACAGTTACATCTGACTCCCTTTTGTGAGGTATCCCACCCTGCCCCTGACATAGGCTGGGCAGTCCTTGGCTTCTCAGACCTTCCACCTCCACCCTTGGGTAGCCCTGGGTTAAATCTGACCTCCTCACCATGTGGCACATGGCCTCAACACACGCCAGCACCTGCCTGCTGCCATTTGGTCTCATGATGGGCAGTAGCCACACTTCTCCCCGTGAAAACTGAAAGCCTTGAAAGCAGATCTCCAGCCTCCTAGCTACAGTCTAATCATCAGGGAAAACTTCATCGCTAAAGTATCAATCCAATTTCAAGTACCTGTTCCAGGACCCAGAAGTATCAGACCACACATTGTCCAGTCATAACAACTGATACACAGTGTGATGGTGGGTGGACTCTGCAGACTTTGTCTGATCGATGCCTAAATGTAGATGAAGTTGTGGGGAACTCAACCCCAAATGATCCTGTAACCACCTTTGATCCATCAAATCCATACGGGGGTGATGAAAACCTGACGAGTTCAGATTTAAGATCTCCCTGTTTAGACCCACTGCCTGGCTTAATGCTGTTGCCGTTTCTTCTTTCCAAATTAGATATTTATCTTTGAGAACAACATCTACTACTGTGCACGCGTCGGAAAGCAGGCGATCAGAGTGGTCTCCACAGGGAAGGAGGGCGTGATCTACAACGGCCTCAGCGACTGGCTGTATGAAGGTGAGGTCCATGGGGCGAGACACGTAGTGTCTGCTGTGGCTGGATTCAGTTCTGATTTTCCTTCTCTGACTTCAGTTATAAACTAAATTGCATTTCTTGAGGATCTGATAAATTGAAAGATAGTGATAGAGATTCAGGAAGGACAAGCTCAATGATGGGGCATTCACAGGTGACAGGTGTGGATGCTCAGAGGTGACAGGTGTGGACACTCACAGGTTACAGGTGTGGACACTCACAGATGACAGGTGTGGATGCTCAGAAGTGACAGGTGTGGACACTCACAGATGACAGGTGTGGGTGCTCATAGGTGACAGGTGTGGACACTCACAGATGACAGGTGTGGGTGCTCATAGGTGACAGGTGTGGACACTCACAGATGACAGGTGTGGATGCTCAGAAGTGACAGGTGTGGACACTCACAGATGACAGGTGTGGATGCTCAGAAGTGACAGGTGTGGACACTCACAGATGACAGGTGTGGATGCTCAGAAGTGACAGGTGTGGACACTCACAGATGACAGGTGTGGGTGCTCATAGGTGACAGGTGTGGACACTCACAGGTGGCAGGTGTGGGTGCTCACACGTGACAGGTGTGGACACTCACAGGTGACAGGTGTGGACACTCAGAGGTGACAGGTGTGGACATTCACAGGTGACAGGTGTGGACGCTCAGAGGTGACAGGTGTGGATGCTCAGAGGTGACAGGTGTGAACGCTCAGAGGTGACAGGTGTGGACTCAGAGGTGACAGGTGTGGACACTCACAGGTGACAGGTGTGGGCGCTCACAGGTGACAGGTGTGACTTCACCTAGCCCTTTTGTGCTTCTCTGAAGGAAGGAGGTACTTCAGTGGGAATTTGACTGTATGTTCCCAGTGCGAATGTGTGTGTCTCTTGCCCCTCAGGTGCTGGGCCTGTCTTCGTCTGGGAAGGGAGGATGTCTCTTCTTCCCTTCTTAAGGTGCCCCTGAACTCTCCACCTCGTGACTTCTGTACCTCCCAAAGGCCCCACCTCCTGATACCATCCTCTGGGGGATTCAGACCACCACATGTGAATCTGAGGACACATATAGTCTGTGGCACCCGTACCACCCTGCGTTGAATACCATGCTGCCATGCCACGAGCAGGGTGAGGTCAGCGGGGTGTGTCTTTGCTCAAGCCCAAGGCAGCTGCTGCTTTCGAAATCCAGATGTGACAATCTGATCACACCTCCCAGTCCTGGGCTAAGGGTCAGCTTTGCGCTTCTCACCTCCTGGACTGAGACATGACCACATGGTATTTACCTGCTAAGTGCAGTTGGGGAGGATAAGGGATGCTCTGGCTTCATCAGGCTGATACCAGTTTCTCCAGAGCTACTCTGTTTCTCAGGCCAAGACTCTGCATCGAAGGAGCTCCATGTAGCACTGGTTATAAAGCAGATAGCGATGGGGTGGCATTACTTCCCAGCGTGGCTCCCTGAAGTCTTCAGTTTTCAGAGGTGCAGCTTGTGTGTACACAGGCAGATTGTGAGCCCAGTCAGACCTGTATGCATGCCATGCAGCCCTGACCTAAGGCATCCCAGAAGGTCTCCCTGCAAGTCTCCCTGTGCCTCTTCCTGGTCAAGCACCCCCAGGACTTTCTCCCAGAGACCCCAGAATCCCTGGTTTTCTGACAGAGAAGCTGTCCCTCCAGCCAGGCCCTCCTTGGGCCCCAGCACTGCTCAGAGCTCAGATCGCTCTTCAGACCCTAGTATGCAGGTTGCACTCTGAAGAGAACCGACCCTGAGTCTTCGTGTCACATGACACCCTGAACCCTTCCTGAGGAAACCCATGGAGTGAAACGGATGTGGGACTGGCCAGTGGCCACTACGGATTATGTGGCTCTGTACAGAAACATCCCTGGGAGCAGTAGCCTGAGTTCTCCCCAGCTCCAGCCAGAGAAGTCCAGAGTTGTACTTCTGTACTGGGTGCAGTCCAGTGTGTGCCCACTAGCCTGCAGGAGGGACTGTCCCACATACCAGGTAGACTGTTGAAAGCCAGGACCCCAGGGTCCTGCCCCTGCTGACCCGAGAAAAAACTAAAAAGCCTTTGTCCCAGACTAGAAAATGGAATCCCTTTTGTGCTTCGTGTTTGAGAGATGCCATCAGGTGTGTGCAGCTGATAGGCCATGCAGTAGGAATGCAGCCCAAATCCTATAAAGCATTATGAGATTATTTTTAGTGACTTGATTATGCAGTTCTTAGTGTGAGTTTTATAGAAGACAGTGTCATGTTACATTGTCAAACGCTGGACATGCCTGTCAGTTGTGCTGTGTGTGGTACATTCTGTCTGGACAAGGCCCGGGTGTCTGGGAATGAAAACACTGAGTGGTTACTGGCAAGGCTGTGGGATCACAGGGACCCAGGCAGGAGATTCAGCATGACCCCATGACCTTGGAAAAAAGCCCTTTGACTCCAGGAACCCAACAAGCTCCAGTAATATATTGGGGCTTCAGTGTTTCCCAAGAAGCAAAGTGACATTGTAACCAGAATTGTATGTAACGCCTGGTAAGAGATGGGCACTTGGAAATTGTTATAATAATAATTATTATTATTATTTAGTATTATTATTATTGGTCTAGAGAGATGGGTCAGTTGTTAGAGTACTGGCTGCTCTTGCAGAGGACCTGAGTTCGATTCCCAGTACCCACATGGTGGCTAACAATCACCCCTAACTCCAGTTCCAGGGGAATCCGACACCCTCTTCTGACCTCCATGGGCATTGCACAACACAGGTGTACCTACACACACGCAGACAAATAAAAATAATAAAATATTCAGTACCAATAATAACACTTCCAATATTTGGTACTGGTATTGTAACTTGGCCACTCATCCTTTTCAAAGGAAGAAATATGTCCTAGTTTCATTCTGTTGCAGTGATAAAACCCTCTGACCAAAAGAAAGTTAGGGAAGGAAGGGGTTGATTTCAGCTCAGTGGTCACAGCCTGCCACTGAGGGAATTCAGGGCAGGAACTCTAAGAGCTTGAAGCAGGAACCATCAAGGAACGCTGCCTTCTGCAGGCCTAGCTAGCTTCTTACCCGGCCCAGCGAATGGGCTGGGCCCTCCTGCACCAGTTAATAATCAAGTCAGTCCCCCACAGACATGCCCACAGGCCAATCTGAGCTGGGAAATTCCTCAACTGAGGCTTTCCTCTCAGATGACTCTAGGCTGGGTGAAGTTGACAGTTAAAGCTAATAGGATAATATATAAAAAACAGAGAAGAGAGACATAGGCATCTAGACAGGGTTTCCCAGGCTGCCCCTGTCTGGCCTGGACTTCATGGGGGGCCAGTACAAGCTGTCTGAGAGCCCGCAGAGAAGAGCCTGGGTCTGGTTGCTCTGCAACTAATCTCCTTAATAAAATCCATAACCAGGAGATTTAGAACATCTTTTGCAGTATCTTAATAAAATAAAAAATTCATTGCTTTGTCATTCAAGCTAAGCTTTTCCCTTAGCAAATCCTCTGGAAAGATTCTTTTTTTTCCTTCAAGGCATTTATGAGAAATTGTATAGATATGTTAACAGAGCCTCCAAATATTTTAAATCAATCTCTCAGTGATGGAGCAGCTTAATCTGCTTAGCACTGTTCTCTGGAAGGTTCTATATGCTGACGCTCAGACTTCTGAAATTGGGAGCCCGGGGGATCTCGTGTCCTTTTTTAATAATAGGAGAATAAACTCAGATTGTCTCTACCTAATCAGTGACTTAACTCTTATTTCAGGCTCTTCCTTCCAAGGGTTGGGGTAGGGGGGTAGATGCGAGCGGAGAGGCAGCACACTTGAGTCTTTGCAGAGTTAGTTCTGAGCCGCAGCTAAGCCCCAGTAAGCAGGAAGCACACTGCCGTCTGCAGACTTATTGGCAGTGAAATGCCATATTGATTTTGTTTCCCAAAAAGGGTCTCAGACATATTGAACACTGCAGAACATTGGAGACAGAGAAAGAGAAGTTGGAAGGATGGAGGATGCTGGAAATCTCCATCCCTTGAGCAAAGGCATCCATAGGCAGCATGGGAAAACCGATAGATTCCAGAAACAGTGGTCCACCTCCCAGAGCCCCAGCTCAAGGCTGGCTCTGTGCTCAGCACCATCTGTCCGTGTGACTCTCCAAAGAGACTCCGGGGCTTGGGAGGACCAGAGACAGGCTTTGACTCACCAAATACGCATCTTTAATCTTCTGGGGAAATGCCATGTAGCTATGGAGAGTAAAAGAATAGCAGTTTAATAGACGGATGAAGACACCTGGATAACATCTTGCAGTTTTATGTTTTACCAAACTTGGTTCTCCACAATCAAAAATTAAGATGTTGCTAGAATGTTCTGAGGACTCTAAAGGAGTATTCTGAGAAGGATTTTTGCTTCCAACAGGGCTTAATAATTTCATAAGACTCCTAATAGTCCAGCATATAGACAAAAAGTTGTGATTCTCCCAATTTTTATTTGTGAAGGTTCTTTGTTATCATGTTTACAGTCAGTGGTGTTTGTTTTCCACTTGCTACTTTGTTTATAAAACACCGTTAGCTTCTTACCTTACACGTGAGCTATCAAAGTCCAACACAGACTTTTTTGCCTATAGATTCCTAATAACAAGACACTAAGTCCTTAAATGTTCCTGTTCAAAAATGAGCCGTCTACTCCCCTACTGCAAAACAGCCATACAGGCTCCAAATCCTGCACAGGTGCTCAGGGACACGCCCCTCTCATGCAATGGTCATGTCTAGTGAGTTGGGTGGCTTGGGGCCACTTGGAATGGCCTCTCTCCCGTTGGGTATAGAAATTCTCATCCCTAGTCATCTGAACGAGCAGGGGACAGGGCCAAAGGGCCATGAATCCAAGAAGCTATTCACATAGCCTGGAACCACCAGGAGGCTGAGCAGGGAACTGAGTGTGGCCTGGGGTGTGTTATTCATGTCCTTTAAGATCCAGCTTGGTCTGGATGACATTCAAGAGCTGATCTTCAGCCTTAGCCAGTCAAGAGCACAAGGGTA